GGTGGTGGGGGGTGGTGGTGGGGGTGGGGAGTAGTAAAGTTGGGGGCGCCTGGCTGCCTGCTTGCGAGTGAGGGGAACGGGAACGGAACGGAGCTGGTGGCGGTGGGGATGGAGGAGTGGAACCCAACCGGCTTTGGTTCTGGTTCTGGTTTTGACTCGGACGGGTGTATCTCTCTGGATGGATGTTTCCTTGCGCCCGTGTCACGTTCCTGTCCTACAGAACCACCGTAGCCCACGCAGGACAGTTATATCAATAAAAAGAGGGAAATGCATCATAACAAAACAAGTTATTGACAAACAAAATGTAGCAATATTTGATTATTGGTTTGCGTTTTTTTCTCTTATCGCGATTTTGTTTGTTACCGCCTTGGATCCTGATGGCATTTTTGTGATGTCGACGTGTCCTCGTAAAGGGTATGTCCACCAGTAATCGATGTGCGGACGGTTATATTTGTTTACATAGGTGCGTAGTACATATGTTATGAAAGCATGCTCGTGATACGTCTTGTAGTTTATTTTCTTTATAGTTTGTCAAACCTAGAAACTTTTGCCTAGTGTAAATTTCAAAAGGGCTTGCATGATAGGATCGGGCGCGGTGATTTTTTTTAAGGCGTTGGTAAAATGACATTCGTAGTAGTGTACGCGAGGTGTGTGTACATCTGCGGTCGTAGACATCAACGTACAAGATAACTGCACACGTACCATTGGCCGTGAAAGGTCTCTCATCGAATGCGATGGCAAGTTTGGACTTAGTCGTTGTAGGTTGTGTGCATGGAACAGCCGTATTTTTTTATGAATAAGCTGTGTGACGGTGGTACGGTAGAGATGATGACACATTGTAAATTTATGTTTTGGGGAAGACATCTTTGCGTCGAAAGGTCTGGAATTTTTTTTATCATGTAAATTTCCCGTACTAGGATATGGTATAAGATAAAAAAATATAGCCAATATGGTATTCGATATGTATGTGCATGCTAGGCGTCAACATACACAATAAATGCACCCGTACTCTTGACTGTGAGAGGGTTCTCATGGAAAGCGATTGCACGTTGAGACTTGGTCGTTATAGGGTTGTGTGCACGGACCAAAGATGACGGCACAAGTATTTTACAGATGACTCCGTGACGGGTAGAGAGAACGACACATTTGTAAATTTATTATGTTTGCGGTGAAAATAATTTTCCATTGAAAGGTCAAGGAAATTTCTCGTGTAAATTTTCCATCAAATCCGCTTAATTAAATCAGATCCATGCGTGAATTCTTGAATGGAAACCAACCATCCTCGTTAGACCATATAGTACAATTTTATATTGTGCATGATTGCTTGCCCCTTTTTGGATTTTTGCTTCTCCTTTTGAGGATCTTGTGAAATTCTTTTCCTCTTTTCTAGGGAGACTTGTCCAGCCAATGAGCCAAAGGCTGAATAACAATGAAATAAATAAAAAAGGAACATAAAGGCATTAGCATTAAGGTTGTGGAGATCTCGCTAGGGAGGGAGGCAATAAGGCATTAGGATTAGGGTGATGCATTCGGGGTTTTAGGTGTAGCCGAAAGCCAAAAATGCTTTAAGCCTTTAACAGCCTTACATAATAAACAAATAAAATCATCCACTTCTGCTTAGCAGGAGCTTGACTGCACACGTCGTTCTCGCCCGGCATTTCATACGCTTTTCTGCACATTGTCAACATGAACAACGGGAAATGGACAAAAATCACGTATGTACTATCCTAATCCAACTTGGCACGTAACGGAATACTTGACAGATACATATACTGTTTTCTTTCCCATGGAAAATTGGAAAGTAGCAGTAGATGCCGAATTGACCTGACAGCAAAAATCCCTGGCAGTAGCTTAGATTGTACTTCCTCCGTTTTAAAATGTAGTGCATCTAAACTTTTCGAAATTCAACTTTGACAATACTTTTTTTTTCGGGAAACTTTAACAATACTTTAGACTAATAATCATTGTTGAGGAAATCGTTAACTGGTAGCTGCTCGGTTGGCTGGCGAGTAGGGGATTAATAGGCTAATCGGCAAGTTAATCAGCCATTTAATCAATTAATCGGACGATTTATGGATTTATCGGCTACCCGGTGACCCTAGGAGTAGGGATTAATCGGCAAGTTAACTGGTTAATCGGATGAATTCTTGAACAGGGCTAATAATACATAAATCATTTTACTAAAAAAATTATACCTTTGAGAACTTCTTTCGAATATGAATTCAAAGGTATTTGTCATGCTCCCGCCGCTGTCGCCCATTATGTTTAAATTTTTGGTCAAAGTTAAATCTTGAAATATGTGGGCGCACTACATTATGGAATGGAGGGAGTAGTACTATTAGCCATTTATAGGACGGGTTCGGAGTGAACAACGACGCAGCAGAATGCTCTCTCTCTCTCTCTCAAATTACACTAGCACTACCTCCATCTTGGCTTATTGATTCTCTTTGTATTTTGTGTCAAAATTTGATCATAGATTTAACTAACAAAATATTCATGCATGTCATAAAAATTATATCCTTGGATTCCTATTTAAACATAATTTACAATGATACTATTTACTGTGACATGCATTGAAATTTTGTTAATTAAATCTATAAGCAAAATTTGGCACCAAATACCAAGGATATCAAGTAGTATTGTTCATCTCTGAAACTGTCCGTGTGTGGATCCCAAAGAAGTGAAGTCTTCCATAAGAGTTTTCTGTTTTGTCTAAGGATGGCAATGGATAAGGTATGGGGCGGGTAGAGCAATATCATAGCCATACCCGTGTAGTCAATGGGTACAAAATTCTACCATACCCGTACCCATGGTTATGAACCTTTACCCGTACCCATACCCGACGGCTAGCCATACCCATTGGGTACCCAACGGGTAGATCAAACCGTACACAAGTTGTTCGCAATTTTACATTCATCTATATCACATTTGACAAAAAAGATATTGATCTCAACTCGATAATAGTTAGATGAGTACATGATAATTATCTCAATTTAAATTGACAATTGGTGACAACTTTAACATAGGTTCATAAGCTCATGACACAAATTTAACATAGCTACACTTGTGAATCACAGGTAAAATTCACATGTTAGTATAAATGGGTTGGGTATGGGTATATCCATGGGTAAAAGGCTATACCCATACCCTACCCATGACTTAACGGATAGGGTATGGGTACTACCCCATGGGTATAAAATTATGTCCATACCCTACCCATGCGGGTACGGTTTCCGCGGGTACCTATACCCATGGGTAAAATTGCCATCCTTAGTTTTGTCTGATCTTTTTATTTATTCTCTTTTACTGTTTTCTCTAATTTCCAAAATACTTTAGTTTTAGTAAAATACCAAAGTTGTACCTAATTTAGTATATGTAAATATGCCACAACCCGAACATTTTAGTTTTAATGTTTGAAATTTTTTTATGTTTGTCAATAATTCAAATTTGAAACTGATTCATTTTGAACTAATACAAGATTAGCAACTGTAACGGAGGTGACGTGGAATCATTAGCAGAGGTTCACTGTAGCTTAATTATCCGGGCGTTACAAGAGGGACCCCTCAGATAGTATGCCGCGAAGGGGACATAGCTGGCAGGGGCTACTTCATCAGACTCTAGCTCGAAGGTGATGTCATGGAGCCAGTCATCAACATCAAGTGGCTAAGTTGAGTTGTGGTAGATGGTGGGTTGAGACGTGCAAAATCTTGCAGTGTCACTGGGGCTGGCTGCTGGTTCATATTGGGGCGAGGAAACTGAGCCATCATATTCTCCATGAACTAGCGATTCACCTCGGACTATTGGATCATACGAGCCATGTACTCAGGCGGTGGTGGGGCGTTGCCACCACGACCACGACCACCTGGTATAACCATCCTGCTAGAATATAACAGGGGTAGTTCAGCATTGAGAAATTTGCAAAGGCAAGAATCATTCATGCATAATGAAAGAAGCACGATAGATATTACATAGTAGTCGGCATATCTTACAAAAGGGATCATGCATAGAGTTTAGAATATAGACTAAGGACATCGTAGGCAGCACGCAGGCTCGCGACGAATGCATATAATACTAATAAGCAAGACTACATCAGTCCCAGAAGGTACTACGATGGAACGTGTAACCAGACAGATGGTAGTGACGCATCGGGAAATCTTCCACGTCAGTCTCCTGCGGTCCGTGGATACTCTGGTGCAGAACCCGACGCACAGATGGCAAAAGAGGACCACGAGCGGGAGTGTAGCCTCCAACGTGTGGCCAACCATCACCACGGGGCATCACGGTCCTGGCTGGGTAGATAGCAGAACGCGGC